GTGCCAATGAGTTCTAGGCTCTTCCCCACTTTTTCTTCTACAGGCTCTGCCCTGCAGACTATCAAAGCAGATGCTGAGACTTATGGCCAAACTTTGGGAAGATTGCAGGGAATCTTATGAAAGAAGTGGGAAATAGTAAGATCTGGAGAGGACAGAAGCCCCACAAGAAGAGCAACAGAACCAAAAAATCTGAGCACAGGGGTCTTCCTTGAGACTGATACTCCAACCAAGTAGCATGCATGGAGATAACCCAGAATCCCTGCATAGGTGTAGCCCATTACAGTTCAGTCTTTTGGTGGGTTTCATAGTAATGGGAACAGGGATGGTTTCTGACATGAATTGATTGGCCTGCTCTTTGATCACTTCCCCCTGAGGGGGAAGCAGCCTTACAAGGCCACAGAAGAAGACAATGCAGCCACTCCTGATGAGACCTAACAGACTAGGATCAGAAGGAAGGAAAAGAAGACCTCCCCTACCAGTGGACTTTGGGAGGGGCATACATGGAGAAGGGGGAGGAAGAGAGGGATTGGGAGGGATTGGGAGGGAAGGAAGGAGGGAACCACAGGGGGGATACAAAGAAAATAATGTGTAATTAATTAAAAAAAATAAAAATGAAAAAATACAAAAGAATCCTGAAGTGGCTTTATCATGGCAACCAACAATAAAATTTCCTTACATACTGAAGATTCATCGCATATACTCTGCAACCTCACTATGTAAAGCAGTGTCTCTGTGCTAATAGTAGTACCATTTTCTTGGACACAATGAGAAATAGAGATCCCCTGCCCTCTACAGACCAAATGAGTCCGAATCTGCAGTTTATCAAGCTCCCCAGGAATTCATTTTTTATTATTTTAAAGTATAATTTATTCATAAACAAGTTTCATTTTGATAATAAAAATGTACTATATTATGCAATATATTTATTTCTATTGTGTATGGTCTGGGCATTTTTAAACTATTAGTTAATAGTAGTGTTGAACATAAACTCTATCCATACCCTTCTAACTGTCCCCATGCTTACTCTCTTGTGTAAAGTTTTCAGGAGTCTTACATGTTCTTGCATGATTCTAGGTGCTTACAAACCCTGTTGATTTTATTTAACATTTTATATTTCTTCCAAGCTTTTTCCTCCATCCCATTGTCAAATTTCTAGTTTATCTCTAATGAGTTATCTCCCAGATACCTGGGTTTAGCTCTGTTGCTCTTATCAAGAATAGTCCACCCTTGCCTAGGAAGAGCTCAGAAGCATAAAACGCTTGGTACCCCTTGATCTAGAAAATGATTTTTTTTCAGAGTGGAGAGGTATTCTCACGGTCTCTCTCTCTCTCTCTCTCTCTCTCTCTCTCTCTCTCATTTTTCCTCCTTTCTTTTTTATTTTTATTTTTTAGTCAAAGTCTCATGTAGATCATGCTGCCCTGAAATTGCTATGTAGTTAAGTATAACCTTAACAGTTCCGATCCGTATACCTCCAGTTCCAAAATGTCAGGTCCTGAAATTACAGAGGATTGCCACCCCACACTACTAGAAAATATGTTGTCTAAAATTGCCCTCTCATGAATTACAAACACCGTAATAGAAGTTAACAATGCTCTGTCTATCCACAATATATGCCCATTGTTACATCTCTACTTACAATCACATCTTCACAACATGAACATAAAACTCAGCTCTATAATTATGATAATGAAGGTTGCCCACAAAGGTCCTTGTGTTTTGACATCCTCTTACTGTCCCTAAACTTCCATGTGTCTAAAACCATTTATCGACTCCCAAACTCTTTCAGAATCCTTTTGTATGCTTTCAAGGATTGAGCTCATCTTTCATCTGATCCACCATTACAAACCTTGCTTTCTCTGTGATATTGTTTATAAGAGATTGTTACTCCCATCTGTGTCTAATCAGTTCAGCTAGATTGCATACTGCCTAAAAGTTAGAAATTTATATTTTCATGGATTTTTTTGTTGTTTTACAGTGATGCCACAGTGGTGGTTCTTAATGGACTAGCTTCCAATAATCTCTTTCTCTCTTCTTGTCTTTCTATATTCCTTCTCTTCTTGTGTCCTATTATTTATTCCTATATTTATTTATTAGGTGAAGAGATACTAACTGAAACTTCTTACGCACCAGATACACTATTCTTAGTAAAACAAAACAGCTGATCTAATTTATATTATTTTACTTTAATAAGAAGGCAAACAGTTTGTTAAGACTGGTATCTTGTTACCAAGTGACTATTGAGTACAACTGTAATTTGAACAGCTGGTAAAAAGTAACAGGTAACTGTCAGAGCAACTAATGTAGTTCTGAGGAAACATTATATGTTTATCAGATCATATATCATGGACAGTCAGAAGTTTGGTGGAGACAGCTTGTAAAAGTTGAAGAAGACATGCTTTTATTTTTATTGAGCTGCAATCCAATCATCAAATGAAGACTTTGTTAACATTTTTTACTGATTTGTGAGGTTATTTAATTGCAAAACATGCTACCAACATTCTTGTTTTTAAAAGGTTAGAAATAGGAGCTAGAGTGATTGCTTAGTGGTTAAGAGCACTTACTGCTCTTGCAGCATACCTTGGTTTTGTTCTAAGGGCATCTGATACACTCTTCTAGCATCAGCAGGCACATTAATTTATGTTGTATATATTCATTTATGTAGTATAAATTTACATGGTACACATGTGCAAACAAGTACGCATGCATTAAAAATATAAATAATAAAAATTATACAATTGGTAATAACAAAATAGTTTGATACTGATGAAGAATGAAATTCTTACAAAGAAATGTTTTCAAAACAAATTTTAATTTATTGATTTGGTAGATATGTATACATGTCCATTATGAACCTGGTATTTCACAATTATATAAAGGAATAAATGCATATTAACTCATGACAATCATATCTATGAACAATAATAACTTGTGTACTGTTAGGGTCTTGCCAATAACAAAATGATATGGGAGCCATTTAGATATTAATATGAAAGAATCTGAACTTCTTATGTTGTATTGGTTTGTTGGGGTTTAACTTCTTAAATTCTTTATGTATTCTGGATATAAGCCCTCTGTCAGATATAGGGTTGGTGAGGATACATTTCCAGTCTGTAGCCTGTCCTTTGTTCTGAGGACAGTGTCCTTTGCTTTACAGAAGCTTTTCAGTTTCATGAGGTCCCACTTATTGATTGTTGATCTTAGAGCCTGTGCTGTTGGTTTTCTGTTCAGGAAGTTGTCTCCTGTGCCAATGAGTTCCAGGCTCTTCACCACAAATTTAGTGTGTCTGGTTTTATGTTGAGGTTTTTGATTCACTAAAAATTTAGTTTTGTGCGGGGTGACAAATATGGATCTGTTTGCATTTTTCTACATTTAGACATCCAGTTAGACCAGCACCATTTGTTGAAAATGCTGACTTTTTTCCATTGTAATGTTTTGGCTTCTTGTCAAAAATTAAGTTTACGTAGGTGTGTGGGTTTATTTCTTTATTTTCTATTCTATTTCATTGATCCTCCAGCCTGTTTCTCTGCCAGTATCATGCAATTTTTTATTACTGTTGCTCTCTAGTACAGCTTGAAATCAGGTATTGAGATACCTCCAGAAGATCTGTTATTGTACAGAATTGTTTTAGCAGTTCTGAGTTTTTTATTATTCCATTTGAAATTGAGAATTGTTCTCTCTCTCTTTATAAAAACGTGTTTAATTGGAGCTGGCTTACAGTTTCAGAGGTGAAGTCCATTATACTTATGCTAGGGAGAATGGTGGCACTCAGGTAGATATGGTGCTGGAAAAGTAGGTGAGAAAGAGTTTTTGTAGGATCTACAGGCAGCAAGGAGAGAGAGCCACTGGGCCAGACTTGAGCTTTTGAAACCCCAAAGCCTACACCCAGTGACACATCTGCTCCAAGAAGGCCAATTTGTAGAACTAAATGAGTTCTGATGACAGTGTCCTTTGCTTTGTGGAAGATTTTCAGTTTCATGAGGTCCCATTTGTTTTAGTTTTAATTACATTTTTATATTAATTGCAGTTTATTCACTTTGTTTCCCAGCTGTAGCCCCCTCCCTCATTCTGTCCCAATCCCATCCTCCTTCCCTCAACTCCTCCCATTCCCCTCTCCAAGTCCACTGATACAGGAGATCCTCCTCGCTTTCCATCTGACTCTAGCTTATCAGGTCTCATCAAGACTGGCTGCATTGTCCTCCTCTGTGGCCTGGCAAGGCTGCTCCACCCTTGGGATGAGGGTTTAGGTCAAAGAGCCTACCCCTGAGATCATCCTGAGTGATGTGTCCCCAAAGCAGAAAGACACACAAGGTATATACTGACTTCTAAATAGATACTAGACCTATAATATAGTATAAACATACTAAAATCTGTACACCTAAAGAAGCTAAGCAAGCATGAGGTCCACGGGTAAGATGATCAGTCCTCACTCAGAAAGACAAGCAGAATGGACATTGGAAAAAGGAGAAAAACAGGAAACAGGACAGGAGCCTACCACAGAGGGCCTCTGAAAGACTATACCCAGCAGTGTATCAAAAGAGATGCTGAGACTATTAACCAAACTTTGGGCAGAGGTCCCCATTTCTTAATTGTTGATCTTAGAGCCTGTGCTGTTGGTGTTCTGTTCAGGAAGTTGTTTCCTGAGCCAATGAAGCAAAGGCTCTTCTCCAATTTTTCTTCTAACAGATTTAGTGTGTTTTGTTTTATGTTGAGGTCTTTGAATCACTTGGACTTTAACTTTGTTAAAACCTTCTAGCTGGCCAGCTAGCTTAGAAAACAGTCCCTCAAGCTGAACTGAGAGAGTACTTTTTCTACTAACATAAAAGCTGTTTTTCTGTCTTGTGTTGATTGAATGTGGTCATGACAGGTTGATTAAAAAATTTCACCATGAGATTATCTATTTCTGTCTCAGTGTAATCACAAATGGGAGAATACAAACTTTTTTTTCTCAGATTCAAGAACTTTGGGTTTCATTTTTGTTTTGTCTTTCTGGTGGCTTACAGGAACTCCAGGATGGCATTGGGCAGCGACAAACTGTTGTCAGAACACTGAATGCAACTGGGGCGGAAATAATTCAACAGTCTTCAAAAATAGATGCCAATATTCTACAAGAAAAATTAGGAAGCTTGAGTCTGCGGTGGCAAGAGATCTGCAAAGAGCTGGCAGAAAGGAAAAAGAGGTAGGGTGACAGAGACGTTTAGCAGAGCTAAACTGCCCTTTACAAAAGATTTCATTTCATTTCCTGAAAGATTAGGAATGGGTGAAACATACTAATATCAAGAAGCGCATGAATTTAATCCCTAGCAATAAAGACATTTCTTGTCTTTTTCTTAGGTATTATAACTATAATACATACTTGTTGCTCTTTAGTGCTTTTTATATAATTTAAACCTCTATGTTTGTTAAAATCCACACAGGATTGCTTAAATGTGGCTGAATGTCAAGTATCCCCCCTTAAAAAATCAATCAGAAAAGACAACTATAAATGAATATTTTTGTAGAAAATATGGGTGGTTGATAAGATTTTAGTAGCAATGCATGAAATTTTTACTGTGAAAACATGATTGCATTATTAACCTTTACTTCAATTATATTTGTACATGAGTTTCAGAATTATGCTTCCTGTTATGGATGTTAGTGGATCTTACTGCATAAAGGAGGACTTGGCCTTTATTTACCAAGACTATTACTGTAAACAGTAAAAACTCAATTCTGTGGCTGTCACTGTACCCTACACAGGATATGCACAACATGTGGGTTTTAATATTTAGGGCTAAAATACTTCATTGATAAGCATCTTTTTTTGAAATGGATTAGAAAGTGGGTTTGGAATTATGTCGATTATCCATTTCTACTTTCTATTACTTATTTTGTTAATGTTGCATTATTCAGAAAAAAATGGATAATTCTTATGTTTGTTCAAAAGAGACATATTAGTTGACATAACTATGTATCTGTACACACAAAACTTAACTAAAGTTAAAAGTAATATCATCATATAAACATTTTTTACATTAAATATTGGTTCAAATATTTTAAGTATATTGAGATAAAGACCCCAGATTTCTTGTTAAATTAATTGCTAGTGAAGTTCTACCTTTTTCCCTCAGATTTAAGTCTTAGTATTAATCATAAAAGTATTCCATTAATTAAATGACTAATATGTTCATGCACAAACTGTTTCAAAGCTATATAATGTCACTCCTGGTCTGGGCTCAATGTAGCATGAAATAAAATTGTAAGAAATGAGTGATATGACATGATATATATATATCATGAGTGCCTTATAATGGTGATTAAATTGATTAGAAATGTTTTTTTAATAAATTTTGTTTGTTTTTACAAATACTTGACTATATAGTTGTTGAACAAAGCACATTACTATTTTATCTGAGTGATTAAAATCTTTCATGTTTTGGCTTTTTAAATGGAAGTTATAATTTATAAATAAAGATAGGGGCACTATATATGTTTAGCAAAAAGCAATGAATTTTTATATTCATGTAATTGTATAGAAAGTACTATGTGCAGACTAATTGTAACATACTACCCAAATTGTAGTTTAAATATAGCTAGGGATTTGACTATAATTGGTTAGAAAATTTTGTCTTGTTAACGATTTTGACCTACATTAAATACTATATTTTATACTTAAAATGTCAAGATCAGCTTCCTTAAATTTTTAAAATCTCAACTTTTACTGTTGTCTATTTCAAATAACATTTTAAATATCATTGTTTTTGTCTGTATTTTCCACTCATATCAGCTTTGTGGCAGGGTCTGTTATTTTTTTACACATGAGTTTTGTGAAAAGTAAATATGTTTCAAAATATGGATAACAGGTTCTGCCAGTCCACACACTGCGATTTAAAAATATGCAGTAGCAAATGTACAAATAATGTAATATTTCAAAAGGAATGTATTAACGTAAGTAATGTAAAAGGACTGTAAACATGAAACTATTGTTAATCAATAGCATATTTTTAGTCCAAGACAAATGGAGGAAACAGACTTCATTTATAGTAAAGGTACAAAAAAAGAAGCCTATGCTATGAAACAATAATAATTTTTATTTGTAATGCCTTTAAATTAGAAATACTGAGCAATCCTTAGTTTAGGGTGCATAAAAAGTAAGTAATTTGAAACATAAATGTAAAAAAAAACTATGTTTAGCCTTACTGGAATAAATTCTAGTATTTTCTTTGAGTGTACAACATACTCAAAAAAGAGGAAGATTTACTGAAAAGTTTACAGAGTAGTGTGTGCCTATTAAATGTATAAACTGTATAAAATATATTTATAATGCAATTTCCCACAGAATGATTCCTTTTTCTTCTGTCATATATCAGAGGAGCCTGGAATTATCTATGGGTTTATGGATGATAGTTATGATGTAGACACCAAAATATCTTTATAAACAATATGATGCAAACTAAAATGTTTTTTTCTCTAAAAGGAGGTTGTAGGTTAACCAAAACATGCCTGTATATAAAGAATGTTTTTGTTGTTTTTCTGTGAATAAAATTCAAGGGATGATACAATATTATTTTTTCCTTTTTTATTTTTTCTTGATAATTATTTTTTTTATTAATTACACTTTATTCACTTTGTATCCCCCCTGTGGTTCTCTCCCTCTTCCCGTCCCAATCCCTCCCTTCCTCCACCCTTTGCATGCATGCCCTTCCCCAAGTCCACTGATAGGAGGGGACTTCTTTTCCTTCCTTCTGATTCTAGTCAATTAGGTCTCATCAGGAGTGGCTGCTTTGTCTTCTTCTGTGGCCTGGTAATGCTGCTTCCCGCTCAGAGGGAGGTAATTAAAGAGCTGGTCAATCAGTTCATGTCAGAGACAGTCCCTGTTCCTATTACAATGGAACCCACTTGAATACTGAACTGCCATGGGCTACATCTGTGCAGGAATCTTAGGTTATCTCCATGCATAGTCCTTGGTTGGAATATCAGTCTCAGGAAATACCCCTGTGCTCAAATAGTGTGCCTTGGTGGTATAGTGGTGAGCATAGCTGCCTTCTTTTTTTAAAATTTTTTTTAATTACAATTTATTCACTTTATATCCCAGTTGAAGCCCCTCTCTCGCTTCCTCCTTCTGCTCATCCCTTGTCCACTGAAAGGGGCAATCCTCCTCTCTTTCCATCTAATACTAGCCTAACAGGTCTCATCAAGACCGGATGCATTATCTTCCTCTGTAGCCCGGTTAGGATATTCTTACCTCAGAGGGAGGTGATCAAAGAGTCAGCCACTGAGTTCATGTCAGAGACAGCCCCTGCTCCCATTACTTGGGAAACCACTTCGACACTGAGCTACCATGGGCCAAATCTGTGCAGGGTTTCTAGGTTATCTCCTTGCATGGTTCCTGTTTGGAGTATCAGTCTCAGAAAAGAACCCAGTGCAAATATTTTTTTTTTGTTTTATTGCTCTTCTTGTGAAGCTCCTGTCCCCTCCAGGTCTTTTATCTCCCCAATCTTTCATAAGATTCGCTGCACTCTGCTCAAAGTGTGGCCATGAGTCTCAACATCTGCTTTGATACCCTAATAAGTGGAGTCTTTCAGAGTCCCTCTGTGATAGGCTCCTATCCTATTACCTGTTTTCTACCTCTGTTTATGTCCGTCCTGTTTGGCTTACTGAATAAGGATGGATAAGCTTTCCCAGGGTCTTCCTTATTGCTTGGCTTTTTAGGTGTACAGATTTTAATATGTTTATACTATATTATATGTCTAATATTCTCTTATAAGTGAGTATATACCATGTGTGTCTTTCCACTTTGGAGATACCTCACTTAGGATGATCTTTTCTAGATTTTGCCATTTGCCTTCAAATTTCATGATTCCCTTGTTTTTAATTGCTGAGTAGCATTCCATTGTGTAAATGTACCAGAATTTCTGAATGCATTCCTCCATTGAGGAACATTTGAGTTGTTTCCAAATTATAGCTATTATGAATAGTGGTGCTACAAACATGGTTGAGCAAATGTCCTTGTTGAGTACTTGAGCATATTTTGGATGTATGCCTAGGAGTAGTATAGCTGGATCTTGAGGTAACACTATTCCTAATTTTCTGAGAAAGAAACACGTTGATTTCCAATGTGGTTGTACAAGTTTACATTCCCACCAGCAATGGAGAAGGGTCCCCTTTCTTCCACATCCTCTCTAGCATGCATTATCTCTTTCAGTTTTGATTTTAGCCATTCTGATGGTTGTAAGGTGAAATATCAGAGGCTTTTTTAATTTGCATTTCCCTGATGACTAAGGACATTGAGCATTTCTTTAAGTGTTTTTCTGTTATTCCATGGCCCTTTGTGGAAAAATCTCTATTTAGCCCTGCGTCCAATTTTTTAATTGCATTAATTGATTTGTTGATTTTTTACTTCTTGAGTTCTTTATACATTCAGGATATCAGCCCTATTTTAGATATAGTCTTGGTGAAGATCCTTTCCCACTCTGTAGGCTGTAATTTAGTTCTGATGACAGTACCTTTGCTTTACAGAAGCTTTTCAGTTTTACGAGGTCCAATTTCTTTTTTTTTTTAATTTTATTTTTCTCATTAGTTACATTTTGTTAATTCTGTATTCCTCATTTCCTCCCCAGTCCCACCCTCCCTCCCTCATCTCCTCCCTGCCCCTTTCCAAGTCCACTGATAGAGGAGGATATCCTCCCCTTTCATATGACTCCATTTTGTCCGGTATTTTCAGGACTAGCTGCAAAGTCCTCCTCTGTGGCCTAACAGGACTGCTCCTCCCTTGGGAGATGGGGAGGTCAAAGAGCCAGTCATTGAGTTCCTGTTAGAAATAGTCCTTGTTCCCCATACTATGGGAAACCAATTGATTACTGAGCTATCACGGGTCACATCCGAGCAGAGGTTCTAGGTTTTATCCTCTCATGGTCTTTGGTTGAGTGTCCATTCCAGAAAAGACCCTGTGCCTAGATATGTTTGGTCCTTGTGGAGCTCCTATCTTTTCCACATCAAACTCCCCTTCTTTCATATGATTCCCTGCACTCTGCCAAGGGTTTGGTTATGAGTCTTAGTATCTACTATGAAACACTGCTAGGTAGAGTCTTTCAGATGCCTTCTGCGGTAGACTCCTGTCATACGTTCAATGCATATCCCATTTGTCTTTCTAAATGAGGATTGATTATCATACCCCGTGTCTGCTTTCTTGATTATCTT